CCGGATTCTGTGGCTCGCTTGCCGTGTGACCTCGGGACGTCATGGGACCTCTCTGGGCCCCGCATTCTTAATGTGTTGAAACGAGCCCGTCAGTAACAGCAGCTGCTTCGGAGGACGCGGCGAAAGGGTTCGCGCCGCTGCAGGGGAGAGGCTCAGTCCCTGTGACCTTATGTCGATTAGCCTGGTTGTCTCAGCAACCCACTTGCCCTTCCCGGGCCTCGGTTTTCCTCCTATAAAACAGGTACGAACAGCAGTGTAGTGCTGAGAAAAGAGCATGGACTTTGGGGTCGGACCCAACCATTCCCTAATCCTGAGTCCTTCATCCAATGGTTCAGGGGCCTTGGGAAAGCCACTTAGACTCTCTTAGCTCAGTTTTCTGCCTCCACAAAAGGGGTATATTGGCACCCTGGGTGGCATTGTTCCCAGAATTTAAGGAAAAGCTCCGAGGAGGGCAGAGCCGGGTGAGCAGGGCAGAGCTTGAGGGCGGCTCCACTCTACCTGGCCGCAGTGGGGTCCCTCCCCGCCTCCAGGACCCGCTCCCACCCTCGTCCGGCCATCTGCCCTCCCACCCCTCCATGCCTCCTCTGACGTGCTCCCTCTGCCATATGCTCACCCAGCCCTCGCCCCCCTATTTGTTTTCTGTGTTGTGTCACAAATCCTCACAAACCTAGTGGCTTAAAACCACACACCTTCATTGCCTCGCTGTCTCCGTGGGTCAAGAGGCTGGCACGCTGTGGCTCGTCCTGGCTCAAAGTCTCGCAGGGGGTCGGCCAGCAGCACCCCCGACCGGAGGCTCAGCGAGGAAAGCGTCTTCAGGGTGTTGGCAGAATTCATTCCTCGTGGTTGCAGGACTGCGGTTCCCATTTTGTTGCTGGCTGTCAGCTGGGGTTGCTCAGCTCCCAGAGATCGCCCCAGGTCCTTGCCCCGCGGCCCGCTTCCTGGGCCCCTCGCACTTCCAAGCTCTCTACGCTTTAAGCCTCTGACTTCAGGAAGGGCCCAGTTCCTTTTGAGGGCTTGCCTGATTAGGTCAGGCCCACCCACAGTCAAGGGGAAGGGAATTACGCAGGGTGTGCATACCAGGGGGCAGGAATCTTGGGGGGCATCCTAGCACCCCACCCATCTCCTCCTTTGGCTCTTGGGAGCCTCAGGAGGAAGCCTCTTTCTTCTCATCCTCCAGTAGGTAAGAAACTGGGGCCCCAGGTCATATAGCAAATGACTGGAGAAGAAACCACCGGGGACTGGCCTCAGGTGTTTACGGCCTCCTTTTGTCCATGAGGGGACTGATGTATTTATTCTCTACAGCCTTGTGGGGTCTAGCAGAGTCCAAAGGTGGGAGTTACAGGAGCAGAATTTAACTCAAAGGAAGAGCATTCTAGTAACCGAGGGGACTGCTTTGATGGTGGTGAGCCCCCCATCATCAGAGGTGTGTGAGCAGAGGCCCTGCCAGGAAGCCTGGGAAGGGGATGCTCACGTCTCCTGGTGCGGTCACCCAGCACCTCTGTCAGCTCGGTCTCTGGATATACCTTCCTGCCAGCGGGGACCATCGTCCTCTGGAGAACGCCGAGCCCGCAGGTGATCAGACACGGACGGGACGCAGCTCCGGACTCCGTTGCCTCCGTGACTAGGTCAGGGATGGACAGGAGAGCCCCCAGGGCCAATGAGATGCACTGAGACTTCTGCAGGGCTGCTGGGGACTCGCCCTGGAGCACGGTGCCTGGTTCTGCTGGTGGCCGTCATGCAGCCAGCACCAGGGGCACATAATCCACACGGGCCGGAGGACATTCGGAGTCCCTGGATCGGGCCATACCTGATGCCAGCCCACCGCGTCAATTCCCTTTTGTTGAGGCCAGTTGGAGCGGGGCTTTCTGTCACTGACCCTGAAGGACCGGGAGCTGAGGGATCATCTTGTCCCTCCAGGTGTCCTGCTTTCTTGCACCCCCTTCCTGCAGCCCCTGCCCTGGTGGTCGGAGCCCCTCTCGAATGCCACCCACTCAGGAAGGCCCTCCAATCCCCGGGTCCTGGAGTGGCCCCCTGCCAGGCCCCCAGGTTTCCTTCCCCCCGGGAAGGGTAAGGTCGCCCTCTCAGAGGGACTCGCTTCCTCTAAGTGTGGTGGATGCCAAGGGGAGGGGACGGCAGACAGATGCTCCCAGGTCACTGACCCCCGGCCACCCCACCCTCTGAGTCACCCACTGATGTGGGCTGATGAGTCTTATCGCAGGCCGAGGTGTGGCCTGGGATGGTCTTTGAGGTCCCCAAGTGACATAAGCTATGACCTCACCCCATGTGAAGCCCAGGCCTGGACGAGGGTCAGGGGACGGGGTAGAGCCTGCCCGGCGTTTGGACAGCTCGGCCCGAGGACCAGGGCCTGGCAACCCCGTCCGGCTCTCTGCAGAGCTAGAGGCACGGCAGGGGGCGCCCCGGGATGGGTGGGGAGGGGAGGCAGACCCCGGCCCAGCACAGGTCCGGCCCAGATGCGCTCAATTCCATTCCAATCATGGGTGGTAACACCGTGTGACGCCCAGCGTGCTCCAGCCCTGGGGAGATGAGACACTGTCCCTCTCTGCAAGGGGCTGCCGCCTGGAGCCGGGTCAGGCATGACCTAGATGGTGGTCGTATCATAACTGCATCCCAGAGACAAGGTCACTGTTTACAGCAAGAACCCTCGTCCACGGGTGCAGGACCCGGAGCCCCACGGAAAGTATCCCCATTTGCCCAAGGATGTGAGGGTGTCCCCCAGAAGGTACTTGTCACGAGCTCATAGATAAGGCAGAGCGCAGGGCCAGGACCACCCTCCGGCCGGCTTCTGCTGCTGTGACGCCAGGCCCCACCCCCCCCCACTACCAGCGCTGACCTGGGGATAACGCCTCAGTCCCTGAGCTACGTTTTCTTAGACGGTCCCACGGCAGCATCTGTGGCCCTTGCTACACAGTTCCCAGGGCCCTCAGTCCCCACAGACCCTCTCCCCTCTTCTAGAACCTTCTTGCCTTGGTGTCTTGTGTGCCCCGAACTACATGGGCTGAGCCCAGCCCGTTCACGGAACAAGGGTTCGTGGATCTCTTTGCCTGTGGCCGTGTGGCACCTGCGGAGGCCTGGCGTGGGGCAGGTGTGCTCATGAGTGGGCGGGCGAGGTGCTTCCCACCAACCTCAGGATCTCAGCCCCTGCTCCCGACTTAGCTTCTACAACTTTCTGCCAAGCGCAGGCCCCAGTGCCGAAGGAGTGGCAAACCCCCAGGAGAATGCAGGTCACGCCTGCTGACCAATGGAGCGTCTCGCGGGATCCCTGAGCTGTGTTGGCCCGGGTCCCCACCGAGGAACACTGCACGAGGAGCCACACAGGCCCCACCGCGGAGCGTGCTGTCAGGCCGTCGGCAGCATCTTCTTTCTGAGGCTCCCCGGGGGACCCTTCTCTCCTCGACGGTGAGAAAAAATAGGCTGCTTGGGATAATGGGCTCGTTTCCATCACATGGACATCACGTTTCCCTCTTTGCCCTGGCTACCAGGAAGCTCGGAGACAAATTTATGGGCATGCGCTAAAAATATCCTCTTGTGGTAATAACAGTTTGCATATTACCCTCATTTCTGGCTTCCCATTATGTTTCTTCCCCCCCCCCTTTTATTTGCTTTGCTCTGTTTCTCTTTTCTCTTTTTTTCTTGTTCTTGCTCACGAAGAGCCTTAAACATGGGAGCGGTGAGGGGGAGTAAATGCACACGAATGGATGACACATTTATGCCAACAAAATAGTGCCCAGCATTTGTGGGCAGTGTCGGAGAGCGGATGACAGTGGCAGACCAGAGAGGGCCTGGCCGGGTGCCCGGGGACACCTGCAGAGCCCAGTCGTGAAGGCTGGACAACCTGCCTGCTGTTCCCTGTAGGTCCTGACAGTGGAGCCTCTGCTTTCCTTAAAGCGCCACCCTTCGAGGAACACGCACCCACGGGAGGGCAGGGCTCCGGGAGAGACTCAGATGCCCCGGAAGGGGTCCCATAGCCTCCCCCGCCCCAAGCTCCTGGTGGGGGGGGGGGGGTCCTGGTTCGCTGAGCGGGAGGCAAGGAAGGAGCACGAGCAGCAGGGGGCGCTGTTCCCACTGTCTCCCAGGCAGTGCCTCCTGACATCTGGAAACAGATTCCAGCAGAGGTCTGGGCCTGGGGCCAACCCGTGCTCGCTGTAGCCCGCGTGAGCCCAGCCTGCCCACGCCAGGGGCGCACAAAGGCGACCCCAGGAACCACACCCCACCGTCCAAGTGGAGGAGGGAAACTTGTATGTTTCCTTTCACTCTGGGCCTCGGTTTCCCGCTCCGTGCTAGGAGCAAACACCCCTTTGCAAGTCGGTTGTAAAAGTCCTAGGTGACCGTTGGGGGCAGTGCGGTCTGGACGGAAGAGCTCGGACTGGCAGAAAGACCCAGACTGGAGTCCCAGCCTGCCACACGCTGTGACCTGCGCCTTCTGGAGCCTGCTAGGCACCGTGAAAATTGAGCCAAACAACGTATGCAGAGCCCCCAGGGCCCAGGAGCAGCAGTAGCTACGGAGGGCCATATAGCTCGGTCTGTAGCAGCGGCCAGCCCTGGGGGAGCCTCCGTTTCCCCACCTGTAGACAAAAAAGGTGAGAAGAAGTGAGCTCTTGGCCCTTCCTGAGGTCTCTGCTCTTCTGGGCCCGGTAGAATCCGGGCACCAGAAAGCACTGCCCTGAGGGATGGGCGTCTGCAGCATGATGGGACCCCTATGAAGGGTCTGCTCTGGGTCACGATGCCCCCATTGGGTGGGCCACTCCCTCTACCGCTGAGGCCTGAGCCCGTCTGGCAGGAGATGCAAACCAGGAGCCCAGTCCCAGAGTCCCCAACCCCTGGCGTTCGGGGTCATTCCAGGAAAGGGCCTGAAATTCTCCACGTCTTCAAAGAAAAAGACATTTCCGGTTTTGGGGGGGGCAAAAGCACATGTCCCTGTTGCCCCTTTGAGAAGAGGAAGCCCCAGCCTCCCTTCACACCCCACCGCCCTGTTGTCGTCCATGCTCGTGGCCACTGCCTCTCGGGACCCCACGGTGCTCACGGCCGGGGGCCCCCCAGCGCCTGCCCCGCGTCCCTCCCCCACTCCTTCTCCTTCCCCTGGGCCAGCGGTTCCCACCCTGGGTGTCCGTAAACTTGGGTGAGAACCGACATCTCTGTGGTCACCAACGCCCCTCCCTGAAGGGCAGCGTTTCCTTCCGTGGCGAGGTAGGCTCGAGCCACGGAGCCGCCTGTGACCGTGGCCGAGAGAAGCCACAGGTGTTTCCATGACCACCGTGGCTGCTGCGGGCACCCCAAGCGTCCCTTCTGCCCCGCGCTGCTTGCGGATCTCGGCTGGTAACCCCGCCCCTGGCCAGACGCTGTTATTTAACACGTTCACAAAGAGGCCCGTGTGTCCATCACAGGCTTATTTCTGTTGCTCTATTTTAATCTCTGCGTTTGGGCAGCTCCTTTCCGCTGCGATGCTGCCCAGTGTGTCTCATGCGTTTACAAAAGCGTCCTTCCGAGAGACGGCCTGCCTCCCCAGGCTTCAGCAGGTGCCCGGCGGGGCTCACGACACAAACAGGGTGAGGATCTCCGGCCTTAGGGCTGGCGCGCGGGCGTTTTTTCCCTGCTAGATGCGCCGCCACTCTGACTGATTGGCTTTTGCTTCTGGAGCCTCGGCTCCGCGAGGTGGTGACCAGCTCCTGGTTTGCCGCCTGCCAGAGGAGAGTCCCGTACCCCAACCCCTCTGTGGGCTTCTCCCGGCAATCCTGTGAGCTAGCAAAGTGCTCTTCCTTCCCCTCTGGTGGAGGGGGAAACTGAGGCACAGAGCTGTGGACGACTGCCAGGGTCACAGAGCGCTGAGGGCCGGAACCCCCAGACAGGCAGAACTGGGTCAGGCGTGTCAGTAAGAGGTCGCGCCCTCCAAGCTCTGAGGAGGGAAGTCCGGGCCTAGGGCGGTGTTTCCTGAGGGTTTGTCCCTGGTGGAGGTGGGGAGCCAGGCCGGGGTGACATCTGCTGGACCTCCAAGCTGGACTTGGAGCAAGGGGGTGGGGGACGCGCTGGGGAGGAGGGGCAGGGAGATCCGGGCTTGTCAGTTTCCACGGGGAGAGGAATCCTGGGCACGGACTGGGACGCGGCTGGCACCGGGACTCTGGGAGCGCCCGAGAGAGGCCTGTGCCCTGGTGGCTCCTCCCGCCCGCGGCCCCGCCCCTCAGGCCCCCCAGCAAACCCATCGCCCGCGTTT